GGGGGGGGATGAATGAGAGGGCTGCACATCACTCACCCTGCCCGCTCCCAGGGGCTACCGGCTGCTCCCCCATACGCCACCTTGGCCTGTTCCCAGAACTGCTCCCGGTTGAGCCGCTTCATCTCCACGGTGGCGTCAGTTTTCTGGTAAGTGGTGCCCTGGGACGGAGGAGAGGCAGGGGGGGTGGAGGGGCTGGGATCAGCGAGGGGGGATGACAGTAAGCGGCATACAGGGTGAGGGGCTGCGGCAGACAGGAGCCCCGGGCGGGAGGGATGCCCCAGACCCGCCACCATCACCATCGCTGCCATGGGGACATTACCACGGGCTCGGCGTTCTCGTCCTCGCGCAGCCGCAGGCGGTGCAGCACTGGGCTGGAGACACGGGCCAGCCCGTTGGAGAGCCGCTGCCCAATGGCCCCTGGGTCAATGTCCTCCACACTGCTGGCATTGACGATGACATCGACACCCTAGGGAGGACAAGCAGCCATCAGGGTTCAGGGTTGGTGCCCCGGCGGCATCATCTCTTTCCCCAGCATCACCCACCTGGAAGAACTCAGCAATCTTGGCTACATGGCTTGCGCAGGCGCATTTGCGGGCATCTGGCACATCCTCGCCCACCTGTGGCAGCCAGAGAGGGGTTGAGCCGGGAGGGGCAGCAGGGTGACCCCCACCCCCCTGACCACCACGGGACAGCAGGACTGTGGGGCACCTGTACCCCCCTGGCCACCTCCAGCTCCTCGCTCATACCCAGTCATTCCCCATGGGCACAGCCCCCCCTCAGCACGGCCCCCACACACACTCACCCAGTTGACGAGTACGTATTTGGGGAGCACAGCCTGGGGGTCCTTGACGCTGCAGAAGCCATACATCACCTTCTGGATCTCAAAGTGGCCGGAAAGCTCCAGCAAACCTCCACCTGGCACAGCACTGTCAGCTCACGTCCACCCAGCACCAGGAATGGGTGCCAGGGAAAACACTGGCAGAGCCAAGCCAGTGGAGGGGACAGAGGACCTTACCTCCTGACGCTGCCAGCTTCAGGTCATCAGAGCCATCCTCATACGTGTAGAGGGCCCTGGGGAGACACTGTGGGTGAGCCACAGCCAGAGTGAGTGTGGGGAGGCCCCCCCATCTCCCTATCCTGGTCACACTGAGGTCAGGGCAGGCCCTGGGGGACCGGCTGGTCCCCAAGCTACCACATAGCCACACCAAGCCTTTGTCCATCGCCATCATCAAGGGCCAGGCTACCAGGCAGGGTGGGCAGGATGTGGGGCAGGTCTCATCCACCCATCCTTGCTGGCAGCCACAGAGCAGGGACAGAAGTTTTGGGGACAGAACAGTCACTTGGGCACAGGGACCCACTGGCTGCTGTGCCACAAGCCACCACAGCCTCACAGCTCTTTGCCCACCCACCCCTGTCCCCCCATGACCCTGCCAGCTAGTGACCAGGTTTGGGGACAGCCCCATGCCCCCGGTAGGAACCCAGAGCTGCTCACGTGCCCGTCTGCGTGAGCCGCCAGCCCAGCAGGCACCAGGCTGGGGGAGGACGCCGGAGCACCATCAGCAGCAAATCAATGTGCCGCCGGGGTGTGATGGGGCCGTCATGGAGACTGTTCCTTGGAAACCGTTCCCAGCTGATGGGAAACCCCCTGTCGCTCCCACCGTGCCCTGGCCAGCCCCCCCGGGGGCTCCACGGGGACCCCCACCAGCCCGCACCTCCCCAGGGGCACACAGCCAGCAACAGAGGGGGGACCACGCATGCCAAATTGATCCAGGGCGGGTGGGCGAGGGGATGGATGTCGCTAGGCAACCAGCATCCTCCGTCACCATGGCAACACCCCCCCATCCCAGCTGGGATGCAGCTCGCCCCGATGACGAGGTGATTAGTGAAGGGGAGCGGGGGAGGCAGGCAGGCAGCGGGGACCTGCGGGGCCTGGCAGGCACCCAAACCTGCCTGCCACCGTCACGCGCTGCACCCGGAAAGCCGGGGCCGCCCGTGCTGGATCCCCCACATCCCTGCACCACGGCTCTGCCGATCAGCATTCGGCTGGTGGTGCCCACACAGCGCTTATTCAAGCCCCAAAATCCCTGTGGTGCCGGGCAGAGCTGTCCTCACCCGAGCTCACAGCTTCCAGCCACAGCCTGGGGGACAGGAATCGAGGGTCCTAAGGGCACAGCCACCCCCAAAACAGGGTCATGCCTGGAGCTAAAAAGCAGGGGGAAGGCAGGCAGGTGCCTAACAGGGAGAGGGCCTCCTTCTGACTCTGGCACCCGCCCCCCAAGCCCCTGGCAGCCAGCCGCAGATAATTGCACCAACAAGATTGACTTTAATCCGCACATCCCGATCCCGCTAATCGGCCGCCCCAGCCGGCGCCAGCTTCCAGGCCTGGAACAGCTGCAAAGTGCTGTCTGTGATGCCTGTGACGGGGAAGGGTGGCAAATGTAGCCCCTGATCCCCCAGGAATGGGGGAGGACAGCAGCAGTTCGGGGGAGCGCAGGGCCACGGGGTGGAGGCAGGCAGGGTGGGATGCAGCCGCCTGCAGTTGGGAGGAAAGAAGTAGGGCAGAGCCACAGCATCACTGCCTGGGGAGCCCTGTGGGTGCTAGGGGCATCCACTGCCTCCTCTCCCCCCTGAAACCCTGCCATGCTGGGTGGTGTCTGAGCACAGGGCTGATGCCTGCTCCCAGGGATGCTCCCAGGGCAGCTGGGACTTGCCATGGACACAGCCCAGCAGCATGGCCTGACCCCACACCACATGGAGGTTTCCAGTCCATGGGACAGAGGGGCCATGCTGGGGCCAGCAGCATCCCCCCGGGGTGCCCCCAGTGACCCACAGCCCAACAGCATCACCATGACCCCCTGGCTGTGGGGACCATCTGTGCCACAGCGGGTGCTGGCAGCATCGTGCATCATTTACCTCCCTTCCATGGGCTTTAATCCCTCCACCCAACCCATACAGCCCCTTCCTACCCCAGGGCTCCAGGTATGTGGGTCACCCGTGGGTGGAGGTGGCCTATGCAGCCCAGGTAGGGCTCTCTGTAGGCGGGGGGCTCCAGCAAGGATCTCCCATCACTCCATCAAGGGGAGCATGGCCCCACTGCCCTTGCATGGCCCCGCTGCTCTCTGGAGCAGGCAGAGCAGTACCTCTGGGTGCCAGCAGCCAGGGCTCCCGCAGCAGCCCACCCCCCACGCCATGGCAGGGTCACATTGCCCCAGTCTCCCCTCCCAGCCCCGGCACATGTGTTTCCAATGTAGCTGGGAGCTCCAGGGAGTCGGCGTGCTCAGAAAGCAGCACCAAATTCCTTTCCGATCGAGTAATGGGCCCCAGCAGCCTTCGCGGGGCCGGGCAGGGGGAGGGGATGGTCGGACCCTCCAGGACCGGGCTGGAGCAGGGGGAATCCCAGACTAAACACAGGGATCCCGGCCGGGCAAGAGCACGGCATCCCCCGGCACTGGCCCAGGACCAGGCTCTGGCGCGGTGTCCTCCCAGACCCTGGCTCAGCGAGGCTGGGCCCCCACCCCGTAGGACTGTTCCCATCACCTTGCCCGATGCAGCCCCCCCAACATCACCCCTCATCCCGCACCCCGACACTGGGCCCTGCAGCGGGGATGCTGCTACCACGGGCACCGAGTGCCAGGCACCCCGGTGACTATGGGATGGAGCAGCTGGGGACGAGGGCAATCTCAGTTCCGAGGACGGGGATGAGGAGGGATCACTGCCCGGCCGGGCTCAACGCTGGAGAGGTGGGGGGGGACCCGGCATCAGCACTCGCCTTCCCGGGAACCGATTCTGCTGCTCTCAGCAGCTTTGGCAGGGACGGCTCCTTTGCAGCGGATGCCGGGAAGCGAGATGTACCCTGAGCTGACAGCTGCCGCCTGGCCGGCAACACGCACGGAGCTTGCCCACAGCGCCCTTGGGCTGCCAGCGGGACCGCGGGATCCCACGGAGACCGCAGGGCTGGTGGGGACTAGGACCTACCCAGACCCACACAGCACTACACAGCCCTGTCCCGAGAGCAGGGACCCGGCTAAAGATGGGCGTGTGCCCGGCTGGGCGGTGGGTGCAGCCCAGCTGGGAGGTGGGTGCCCCAGCTGTGTGGTGGGTGCACGGTAGCCCCCTCCCTGCCCTCTCCGAGAGCATCATGCACAGCATGCACCCAGCACCCACACTGCCCAGTGCCCCGGCTCTGCCCAGCGAGCTGCACCCTGGCGTACCGGCAGCATCCCCGCACGGCACAGGCACCCTGGTGGGCAACGAGGGGGTCTCGGGGCAGACGGCCCCAGACGGCCCCAGCCAGCCCCACGGCACCAGGGTGGAGTGGGAGATGTGGGTGGGCGCTGGGGGACAGGGGTTGGCGGGGGGTGATGGTCCCTGCAGCGGGGCCTGGATCCAGCCGGGCCCCAGCACCGCAGAACCGGGTGCCCAGCACTGGGGGCAGGACGGGCAGGGTGGGCAGCCGAGGGGTCCCAAGGGAGAGAGCCACCCCCCACCCCAAATCGGCACCAATCCCAGCCCACCGGGGCAATCCCAGGTCGACGCACCGAGGCCCCCCAGGGATGTGGCACCCCCGGAACTTGAGGGATCCGGGGGTAGCGGGGCGGCGTGGGATGCTTGGTGCCCCGGCGGTCGCAGGCCTCGCCCCGCCGGGCAGCGGGACCGCCCGCTGTCGGGGCACCGGCGGCGCCGGCCGGGGAGCGGGGCCGGGCTGGGGGCGCCCCGATCCCCTCCCCATCCCCCGCCCCCCGGGCGCCCCTGCCCACGACTCCGGCTCCAGACAATGGCGACGGACCGGGGCCCGGCCCAGCACCGGGGAGCCCCCCGGGGCCCTCCCCGCCGTGCGCGGATCCCCCGTTCCCGGCTCTCGCTGCCCGGCGGGGGGTCGCGCCGGGCCGTGCCGGGGGCTCCGGGGGGCGGTGAGTCCCGGCGCTCGCACGTGCCGGCCCGGCGCAGACAAAGCGGGGACCGCGCCCCGGCCCGGTGCGGCGGCGGAGGGCAGGTGCGGGCACCGAGGGCGGCGGGCCGGGCACACCCCCCGCCGCCCCGCCCGCCTTTGTGTGCCGGGGCTCCCGGGGACGGCGGGGGGCGCAGCGCGGGGCGCGGCCGGTGTTACCGGGCGGCTCCGTGCACAAAGGGCGGCGGCGGCGGCGGGGACAAAGGGGCGGCGGCGGCGGCGGGCGCGCTCACCAGTCGGTGGGGCTGTCCTCGCCGATCACGTCCTGGTAGGAGGCGAGCAGCTCCAGGCGGTGCGCCGCGAAGCCGACGCCAGCCATGGCAGGGCCGGGATGCTGCCGGGGGACCGGAGGGACCGGCCGCCTGCCCGCCTCCGAGACACTGCCGCAGCGGCCGGGCGGAGGGGCGAGCGGCGGGGAGGCTCCGCCCGCCGCCGCGCCCGGTCCTAGCGCCGCGAACGGCGGCCCCCCTCCCCTCCCCTCC